ACAAAAAAAATTACTAACTAAACAATTTGTAATTATATATACCTTTTGAAAACCAAAATGACTGGTTTAAGTTTTTCAAATAAACAAGTTCGACAATTATAATTATGACAAATAGATGCTTTTGACTGTAAATAACACAATGTTTGAACATTTTAATAATTAAACAATTATCAATTAAAAAATGGTCTTTTTTCTTTTTCAAATTTGGTTTGTTCTTTTACAACAACTAATAATTGAATTTCAGAAACGGCTTTTGCTAGTTTAATACTAATTTCATTTCTTGCCAAAATTGGGTTTTTCATGAGGTTACCAACTTCAGAACAGAACTTGGTCAAGTAAATTCTTATCGTTGCCAATGTGCTTTCCATATTCATTTTAGTTGAACGAAAAGCGAGCCTTGTTGATCGAATCTTCACAGATATTTGTGTGTAAAAACTAAAGAATAAATCTAAAGCCCTTTTAGTATCGTCGTTTCCAATTGTTTCAAATATTAATTTTTCACATTCAATAACCATCTCCAAAGGGGTTAATATTTGTGATTCTGTTTTTAAATTATTGGCCATATACTGAAACAACTTAAAAATGTTTCTTACCGATTCCACGTCCCACCTTGTGAATGTACCAAAGAACTTTCTCAGTCTCATGAATGAAACAAGACTTTTTAATTTTTTCACAAATATTTTCATATCTGTAATAATTTTAACAAGAGCGTCTTTAACTTCCACCTCATTTGGTGAATGAGTGTTTGCAATATTTTGAATAGGAGGGATAATTGGAGTTTGAGGTCTTCTTCCAAAACCAAAACGGTTTCCTTTCTTTGTTTCAACGGATGAGACAATTGTTAAAAGAAGCAAAAAGTGAATGATCATATTAAATGAATGTTTTACTTTGTAAAGATAGATCATTGCACAACAAAAATATATGCAAACAAATATTTATTCATTTTGTTTCATTATTCAAAGGTATTCATTAACAAAAATATTGTTGATAACTTTTAATTTTAAATAATTTTTTGAATGTTAATAAGTTTTACTATAATTTATAGTTTTTATTATTATTTGAAATTATTAATAATATAACTAACTATAGTTAATTATATTAATTATAGTTGGTTTTTGTCATTTGAAATATTAATAATAAATAACTATAAGTTAAAATTTTAGTTAATTTGCTATTTTAAAATGTTATGTTTGTTTTTATTTTATAATATAAATAGATTATTTATTATCTTATCAATTATTTTGTTTCATTCACTTCCCATTTTGCACAATTTGAGACTTTGCACTTTTTGCAAGCAAGAACACCTGTTGTGCTATCGGTTAATAGTTAATAATCGACTTATAAACGTCCTCGACAACTAACAAATAGTTGTTGCCAATAGCACATTTGTTAATATTAGAATGATAAAAGTTTTGCAGTTTTCAACTAGGTAAGTGATTTACACATTTTTGGTTTATTGATTTGCTTCATATTTTTATGCTCAAGCTGAAACACATTTCATATTTTCTCTGAGATATTTTCATTTAAAACAATTAGTTCTTTTTGATCTTCACTGCACAATACTCAATTTTCAGTTGTAAATTTCTTGCATTTCATGTTTGTTCTGTCTTTTTATCTACTTGTACAATCTGCGGACAGAATTTTTGATTCAACTTGAAGATAAAAGATCCCTTAACATTATTTACAAACCTTAGTATTTCTCTCTATACAAGTGTCACATTAATCAACAGCTCAAGTCTGAGTATCAGCAACACATTCATTTGTCTTTGCATTTTAGCTATGATTTCGATACATTTATTGACACCAGTTCTACAACTTAAAAATATCTAGTTTAACACTTAACACATACATTAGTCGTTTTATCTTCACAACTTTCATAATAATTGGAATTGTACAATTAGCTGCAAAAGTGCATATTCAATTAATCAATAAGTTTATCAGTATTGTTTTGTATTTTTTTAAAAATAATTTTTTATTTTTAGTTTGAAGTTTAATAGTCTTTTTGATGGTATGAATTGATATGATTTTAAAAGTAGTCACTTGATTGTTTCATATCTGTTTAGGTGGTCTTGGTTCAATTGTTTTTCAAAGCGTATTACTTATTATAGAAAACCAAATGATTGTAATTAGATAAGAGATAAGAAAAATACACAATCAAAGTAACTTATTTTGTAAAGTGTTTTGTTTATTGAATTTAATCAAATATTTAACAAGTTATTTTAAAAAATTGCTTTTTTCAAACCAACTAAATTTGTGTTGATTTTAATTAAAAACACGTTGAAAATATTATAAGGTGGCTGTTACTTCATAAAATAACACAACCTTTCGGGTTCTAATTCGTCTTTTATAATTTTAGATTCTTTTAAAATGGTGCATTTGTTGATTTGAAAAAGTCAATGTCATTTTTTTCAAATTATGTTCTTGTGATTAAATTGTTTAACCAACACACGAAAAATAAATATTATTATTTATTGTTGCTACAAAAACATTTATTTGTATTAAGTTTGACTTGTCAAACATTTTTTTATTTGTAATGTCTATATTAAACTTTTTTTAAATAATTAATTTAAGTTGTTAAAATTTAATTTGTTAAAATTTTGACAAATAAATATGAATAACTTGATTTACGTCGACTTTAAACATTAAAACATGTTAATCAATTTTTATCTATTCAACTTTATTGGTTTGTATATTATATTATTTTGCTCAATATGCTTATTTTTTGAACATAAAAATATAATCGATATTGAAATTATTATAACTTAAAAAATTGGACCGCTTTTAAAAATGTATATATGTTGGCCTCTCATTTTTTATAAACAATTTCGGAGATTGTATCAAATTGTGTAATGAACTATAACAAATTAATTGAAATATAATATGTAATAAAAATAAGATAAATATAAAAACTTTTATTAAATAAGTATAAATAAAAAACAAACGGTGTAATTTTTAAATATTATGAAACAAAGAATAATTAAGATATTAATTTTAATTACTATTAAAAAAGTATTTGTTAATAAAAATAAAAATAAACAATGTAATCAAT